TCCATTTTTAACGCTGTGCCTCTACATCACTTACTTCAATAGAACATTTCATTACTCAGGTCTGTATGTGTCAGTACAGGTTGTTGAAACCAGCTGCACACATCATTCATCAGTACATTTCTTTTTTTATTCATATTTCTACCACTATCATTTAGACTTCATTTACAGATGAAGTCCATGTTGAAGTAAAACAGGAGGAAAATGAGAAAATAAACATCAGGCCGTGTCTATAAAACCACCGCACCGCAGTCTGAGTGGATACCTTTACTCAGAGCGAAGCCAAATAAAAATCAAAAGCCTGAAATGTGAGTAGCTTAGACATTTCCAGACTTGTCTCTCAGCACCAGAACTCAGACGCAGCGTGGCAAAGTACATCAAACGTGCCGCTGCGGCCAGTGAATGTTATACCGACTCAGGAATGAACAGATTTAAACTGACTGGAAAACAGGGGCAGGTGTGTGCAAGGTGTTAAAACCTAAAGAATATCGCAGACCTTCGGCTACATAGATCTACCGTACATAGATCAAATGTATTTGATGGAGGCCATTATTATTTACTATCTAAATGTTAGAATTATCCAGTGTAAAAACACCACCGGCAGATCTGAATTAAATTCTGTTCTCACAAAATAAACAGTATTAAGATGTAAGTGCATTGACTTGCGGTTTGGAATCTTAGATGGATTAAAAAAAAAAAAAAAAGGATCATTATTACTGAGAGTGTTGGGCATATCCACTAACCACTTCCATCTTCTCCTCCTCCTTTTCTTTCTTTTCCTTCTCCTTCTTCTTGGCCTTGGCAGTGATGGAGAGAACAGCAGTGGAAACCTGTCATGCAGAGAAGAAGCAGAGATGTTTCCACCGTTTCAGACAAAACCCTAAACACTCAAGGCCTTTTGAAAACACTTCGGCATCAAATGTACAAAACTAGTCGACCACAGGATGCGCAATGCTGATTGATTACTTCAAAAGCATCGCGGGTTGTGAAGTGAGGCAAAGAGGAAAAATGTTCAAGGGCCAAAATAAAGTGAACAGGCAGGAAAATGACATTAGAGAAGACAGATAGATGTCTTACTTTTCCATCAGAGAAATTAATGCAAAAAAAAAAAAGAAAAACCTTCTCACCTTCTCCTTTTCCTTCTCTTTGGGAACCTCCAGTGCTGGTGGGTAGGCAAAGGTGGAGGGTTTACAGTTGGAGCGGTACTGCACCTTGGGCATCTGAGCAGAAGGACAGACAGATCACTTCATTGACATTGCGTTTAAATGCACTAACAATTAACAGTGATGAAATGTTCGACTTCAGTCTGGTGCCTACAGCAGACATCAGCAGTCAACATGAGGTGGAATTACAAACATTATTTCCAGGGAAGTGGATACACTCAAAGTGCAATAAAATGTAACATCTGTATCTGAGTAACACACTTAATCCTCTTTTCTGAAGCTCAAGGTCAAGGACAAGTTTAAAATGTTTTTACTGACAAAGTACACAATGGTATTTTAATAGTATTTTGTTTTATAACCTTCGAACTTGACTACTGCGTCTTGAAACGGTAGTTAAAATGTGTCATCGAATGCAGGTCAATTTGACATGCACAAGTTGTTCATAGATTTTGACTGTGTGTGGTAGTTGGCAGACATTTGTTCATTTTTCACTTCTCAGCAGCTACTCCAGCGAGAACAAAGGCGGTGCTGCAATGCTTTTGTTTCCAGCAGCTGCGTGTGTAAAAATGAAAAAGGAGTCCTATGTAGTGAGGCAAGCATAAAAGAAAATGTCCAGCTTCAGCAGCACCATGTGTCTTCTGTTTAAGTGTGGGACGTAAAATTACAACAGCTCACTGGAACTTTGTGATTTACAGCGGCCGCGTTCTGGCACGGAGAGCAATGCAGCACAACGGGTGAATCTTCTGTCGTAACTCATAATTCTGCTGCTTGGTAGAGGCTGAATGTCAGGAAAGGGACCGCTTTTGTAAAGGAGCAGGCGACAAGAATGTTCATCATTTTTTTAATGGCTTCAGTAAAGGTAAAACCTGCCTAACACACTTCAGGACACAAGTGAAGAGACTCTTTTGAACTCTCTACCCTTGAACTTCCCCAGAGACAAGCCTCCAGCACACACTCCCCGGAGTATTTATGTGTGGAGCTTTACACTAAACACATTCTCTGATACTGACTTAAGCAGCCAATGTGGAACACGAGATATGGCGCCATGTGCTGTGGATTTGAGTAACAATTAACATTTAGAGATTGAGATAACATCCAGTTGGTGCCAATAAAATGCCCACTATGTCTCAGTAATAATCAGTAATCCCTGGGTCCTACACTGAGGACAGTTGGTGACAGTTGTTACCAAGACATGAGGCAAAATATTTATATCGACAAAAATTACTTCTGCCTAAACCATAGCTGTCAATACTCAACAAGACCGTTTTTAAAAAACAAATTCAGAAGTAAGTGAAAATTCAGGAATCATTAAATCAAGAGAAATGGGAAGTGTAAGTATAGAGCTGTTCAGTGTTACCATGAACAAAGCATGAGAAGAGAACTACAGGTTCTGGCAAAATGGTTGAAGGCAATAGCTGAGACAGGGGAACATCCACTTTCTGATATCAATATTAACACAAAGAAACACCATCAACTCTGAGGGAAAATGACAGGACAGACTATGTAATAAAGTCAAGCTCTTTGTAACTTCTAGGGACATGAAACTGATTTGGACAGAGCTTGAAAAGCAAATCATAACCCATTGTAGCTAAACTGGAGATTCTTACAGATGTATAATGTTAGGAATGGATTCTTATGGTACCTTGAGGTCCTTGTTGAGTCCAATTATAGCAGTTGGTGTGAAGGCCAAGGATAGAAAGTGGGACAGGGGGAACCAGAACCAGAACTGGGTGAAGACCAGCAAGCCAACCACAGATGGCATGTGTGTGTGACCGGTCCTGGACTGCAGTGAGATGGTTACATTACGTCCACCTGGAAAACAAAAAGCAGAAAGTGAGAAAATAGTTGAAATAAAAAAAACCAGAAAGTGAGAAAATAGTTGAAATAAATAAAAAAAAAAATCCCAAATTTCACTGTGAGGAAGATATAACTTGTGTGTAGTAACATATGGGTTGTGACCACCGGTAAGATCACCATCCAAAAATGTTGATTGTTAAAACAGCTCATTTGGTGATGTGGCATTTATCACAGACTGAAACAATCACGGATAAATTCTTGTCAGATGTATTGTGTAAGAAAGGATTTGGAGGTCACTGAGGAAGCAGAGCAGGGGAGTCACCACCCTGCTCAGGTCATCTTTTGGCTTTAACCTGTCTGATCTGGTGATAACAGAGAAACCCTTAAATTACAGACACGTGTCCAGAAAAAATGCCAGATCGCTGATTTGCATTGTCTTCAATATCCTGGATTAAACAAATGATAAGAAAACATATTTTAATTAGGCCAAAAATAGTTGTAATGGAAAGTAATCAAAACAGATGCGTCAGTGGCGCTGAGTGTAGTAGACGACTTTTGCAGCTGCACTCGAGAGCGTGTTGTTTAGTCAATCCTGAAACTGTGTTTTCTTCACGCGGTTAAACTTAATTTTTGTTTAATTTATTTTCCCAGAAGTGTCTTTGATGAAGCACTAGAATTAGTAATGTTTGTTGCCTCCTGCAGCAGAATGCTATAAATCACTACACGACACATGAATTATTCTGAAATCATTTTGTCAGAATAGAAAATTATAGTAGTATATACTTCTATACTTTGCTAAAAATAAATAAATCCAATAATGCAAAATGCAGGCAACTCTACCCTGAAGACGCTATTGTTCGCTTTATATTCGTTATAAAAAAAGGTAGTAATTTGACAATAAGGTCATCTTAAAGACACTGCATAAGTTTTCATTACAAAATGGGACTAATCGGAATGACATCATAGTTTCCTGATATCGGGCTGATGATTATCGTGCACTTTATCTTACGTCACTTTAACAACAGTATTATAAAATAATTTTTTTTACAAAATAGTTAGTTATAAAAATTATTTGGGGAAATACCTGAAGTATCACAGTTTGAATAAACAACCTGATTATTAGTGACACATGATGGAAAACTGTGCTAAATGATCTAAACTGCTGGTTATGCCAACAAACTCAATTCAAAGCAATTATTTGAAAATTCTTTGTGTGTGTGTGTGTGTGTGTGTGTTCCCCTTTGGTTTCCTCTCACAGTCCAAAAACACGCAGGATTCCATCCATCTATTTTCATCCACTTATCCGTTAACGGGTTGCGGGGGCAGCAGTCTCCATGACCGCCACCCAAATCACACTGCACCGTACCAACACCCACTAAACCTTCCTGCAGGTGGTGAGTCCACTGCTAACCGGGATTCGATCTTGCCCAGGAGGTGAACCCTGGGATTCCACGCCAATGACAGAGACATTGCCTCTGGGCCAAAGCGCCACACATGTAGGATCAGTTCACCTTTAATTAACCATATGTATAAAAGGGGTGTGGGTGTTTTTTTTTTTCCCTGGAATGTTGCCCTGTGATGGACTGGAAAACTGTCCAGGGTTTTCCTCCCATTGTTTGCACTCAGGAAGTGGAGAAAAAGATTTACTGACCAAAGACGAATGATTAAACTACACAATGTTAGGATTATATATTTAACTGTAAGAGAGAAAAGAGGAAACACAAACAACAGACGGTGAGGAGTTTCATAAAAGAAATGGAGAAAAGTGGGTAGAAAATGTCCAGAAATGGAGAAAAGTGGGTAGAAAATGATCTTGCTAAACTTTTCTTTACCAAGAAAGACCATGGATATCTAGGAGCAGTCGTTAGCAGCTAAAAATGAAATCAGCTACAACGGCGCTGGCTTTAATGAGCTGCCATTGTCTTGCTTTGTGCACGCTAATTTCTGTGGTCACGGTAATGATTTATTAATGATACTTGACCTTAACAAGTGAAGCCAATGCTACAACCATCCAACTCCCACACACTGAACAGTGGCCAACATGACTCATGAGATCTGCAGGACTACAATTGAGCTTTTAAGTCTCCTAAGAAAACACAAGACGAGGTCAAGAGCACTTGATGAGCCCAGTTCCCTTCGGCCTCTGTGGATGCCAGCTCTTATTCTAGTGGGCTAATTTTCATTCTGCAGAGATGGAGAGCAGGGCAAAGCACTTTGTTTCATTGGAGGTGTAATTGTAACGACGGCCTCATTGTTGTATTGGTTTGAAAAGATGAAGCTATTTGGTATTTATATAATCAGTAGAGAGTCATTTTGGCTAGTTAAGGATCATTGACTTTACATATTAGTTAAAATGTCTGCAAACCAGAGTTTGAGTGTGAGCTGTTGGGACAGAACGATGGATGCACGATGTGAGAGGGTTAACAAGGAGTCTGACGTTTCCTTCATAATGAGCAGCAGAGATCATGAAACTACACTCTAATTGCTTCCGCCCATCAAATTAAATACAATTACCAGCACAGCACACTGGCCCACACCCCCTGCAAGACCCAGACCCATAGTAAAACCTCCAAACTGTGTGAGCCTGAACATGAAAGACATTCAAAGACGAATGTCGTGTTTTTATGTTTGCTGGACTGAGACATGTTCATAGAGAAGAAGAAATGAAGAAGAAAAAAAAACTACATTTTTTGTTTGTTTTTATCAAAAGTTGATGAACTGCACAGACCTGGAGTGTGGGGCCATTTTACAAATTAGAAAGAGGTTTGGTTCAAGAAGATGAAAAACAATCCACAACTCACTGAGTTGTTACTTTCCCAGGTGTTAGAGTTGCGACACCTGATAGTGTTTTTTAAACGGCGCTGGTTTTCGTCTCGGCACAGAAGGTCTATAGACGGTGAAAGTGAGTTTCAGCTCCTGCCCACGCTGAACGTTTGTGTATATACCGTACATGTAAAGAGTAAAACGGGTTGGTTCTCAATTTCTGGAGTGTATAGCCTTGTGCCTTAGCCATGTGATGATGTACAGCTCACTTGGACCCCCCACACACACACACAGACAGACACACATTGCATGCCTGTGTCCACAAACAGCTGCGCAGACACACAAACACATTGACAATCAGACAAACAGTAATCACCCCAGGGAGAGCACCAAACCATGTGGGCTGAGAGGTGAGCAAAGCTGAGGCTGGACTATCAGTCCCTAATGCACCTTAGCATGATCTGTTCCAGAGAGGCAGTACCCGGGGTGGTCAACCAATTTAGGCTAATCTGTGTTTGCTTGAGCATGACTCAACACTCATAAGCACAGGCCTAAACAAGTATTCAGCAACTATCGTTGTTTACAGTGCAATTAAGAAATATGGTTGTCGTTCCCCCGTAAGGAGCCTCCTTACGGGAGGGGTGAGGGGTATAGAGACGGGGGAACGACGACCATATTTCGTGAGGGGTGAGGGGTAGAGAGGGGTGTACAGGAGCAGGTAGAGAGAATAGCAGTTCTGTCCAACTTACCTGCATCGAGGATTCCCTGAGCCAGGATGGCACCGAACTTGGCCATGACGTCATCGTGCTTGTCGTTGATGACTTTTGAATATAGCTGTCGGAACTGGTTGACCTATAACAACACATTGAAAAGACAATGGGTGTTTAGTCACAACTGATCAATACACTGAAAAAATACCTCTTATAAATATGAATATTTTTTTTAAGAAACAAGTAATTGGAATTCATTATTACAATTACAGAAAACATCTTGAGAACTGTTTATCCTTGTTGTTGCTAGTTATTCATACAAATTAAGACATTCAAACTTGACATGCAATACCACTGTGGACAACTGTAAAACAGGTGGAAATGGTGAAGCTTTGAAATAAACAATCATGTGTATGATGTTCCACAGTCTGTCTCTGAAACGCTCTTGCACAATTCTGCATACCTCCTGGAGCTTTGAGGCCTGCTGCTGAGCACGCAAGAGTCTTTGAGAAGAATAATCAAAAAAAAAAAAAAACCTAGAGGAAAGGAATGGGTCTGGTATATCTTAAGTGCGTGTGACAAGGCAGAGATGTTCTGTGTGTGAGTCCAGCAAATGTGCCTGTGTGGTCACTATTTGGCCACCACACAGCTCTGAAGTACTGAGTGCATTCTTCTAATAGTTTTCTGCCGAGAGTCAAACATTTAAATCCGTCTTGGAGCTGACTGGATTAAATTAAATGCTGACTATGCATTTATTTAAGTAAAAAATACAAAGACAAATGAAACAAAAATTTCAAAATTACGACTAAAAGTAGCAGAATAATAATATTTCACACACACCTTGGGACATGTGACTTCACTCTGCTGAATCATGATGAGGGCGGAAGCAATCAGGGCGCCCTGTCTCACATAATTCACTGGGTCGTTGGTCATCGGCTCCAGCAGGTTGATGGCCTCCTGTGGAAATAAAAACATAAGAGTAGTAGTTAGAGTAAATTTACATAGCTGGCAAAATTTGGACATAGTGTTTGAAACCTTTATTGCAAACCTAATACAAAATCCTAATAACCTCCTAATTAGCGAGCCTTGTTGGTGTTTGTTTTGTGTCTATATTTAAGAAAGACAGAATTACTGCACATGTTCAATCTGACTGACACTGTGATGTCATCCGTCTGTGCTTTCCATATTTTGTCATCCTCACAAAAGCCACACCAGTGCAACAGTGGCATTTATGCTGGGGTAAATGGAGGAAAAGGATTATCAACAGAGTCGACCAGACCATACAAATTAATGACATTAGTTTCAGCCCTATCTGATTGCCTGTGACAACCATAACAACAGCTATGACAGGACCTTGTCTTGTTCAGTTTGCTGCCGTGATGGCTGTGAATGAACAAGCCAGTGAAGACCACCTACTCTTTCGCTGGAGCTGCCGCTGCCTTCCTCATTCTTGCAGAACAGTAATGGCTGTAACTAACACCAGCAGAATTTAGAGGAGGCGTCAGCTCCAGCGAGGAAAGAGAAACAAACCGAGATGATGATAGTGGAGGTAAAATAAACCAGGCTTCATCAGTGCTCTTGGCTGAGTTGAAATAAGGAGAGCTGCACACTGGGGTGATTAGCTGGAGTGTAAAAGCCAACACCATCAGCCGTGTCCAGTTGCTGTAAGGTTGTTGGAGGTTTAATTAAGTGCATTTACTGTCAGGCTCAATTTGAAAAATATAAAGTAGGTTATTAACTACACACAGTTTTCAAATGTCCTCCACAGACTGTGTGTGTTAAGGTTTAAAGTTTAGATGTTTTTAAAGTTTTTGGATCCTCGTTGAAAAATGTCAGTGCAAAATGCATTGTTAGTGAGAGAAAATGATGCCATATAAAACAAAACAACTACACTAAAGCCCTGAGCAGCTTAGCAATACATTGTTTTTAATTGACATGAGAACTCCAAAAAGCTGAGATATCTTGTTTAAATCAGATCAATGTGTTTGAGTGATGAGCTAAAAGGAGTCTTGCTTCGTCTAGCTAGGCAACCATTTTGCCACATCATCACTGCATACACTGCTGTTCTTATGTGCTTAATGTATTCGTCTGGAAAAGGCGAGCAGTGGAAGTCTGGAGCAGTTCAGCTCTGTGCCATTGTCTAGTCTGATCTCAAAAAAAAAAAAAAAAAAAAGAACATTCACTCTGGTGCTCCAAGGCTCAGAGAGCAAAGCCCTAATGAGCTGTGATGACTCTCCTGTCACCTGAGAATGATCGTATCGTAGAGCAACATAACTGAGGAACTGGCAGTTCTCAGAATGTCTGTCAGCTTCAGCTCTGCTCGTGGAACAGGCTTCCATTCCCCAGTGGCAGCTTGGACTATTTTATCAACCAACACTTCAACACAAGCTCCTAATTTCTGGCCAAGCATCAACAGGAAACTCATTGTTTGGTTTACTTTGCAGTTACAAAATAATTAAGATGAAAGCTTCAGTACCGAGGCAGCTCAGATCGCACTGCAGCCAGGACTGAAATGACTTTTGACCACCGTGGATTGGCTTCAAATGGGTTTAGGATGAAGTTTTCAAACAACTTGTTTTTGGAGCTACAGTCTAACAAAGATTTACATAAAATGTTGTTGCAATAGTTGCTTAGAAGGCATAATTAAATTCAACAACTCTTCTCAGGTTACCTCTGCAGCAATGTGAGTCTACTAATAATGGAAATGAGGCTCATTCTGTTGAAAAAGGTTATTTTCGATTGATTCAAACATTAGTAAACCTAGTCGGCAAGTTTTATCAAATGCTCGACATACCATATACTGCATATGTTTAGTTTCTATATATTGTGACAGTTTCAACTCTCTACCAGATGTATTCTTTCAGTTCTACTTCAGCTGGCACCTTCTCAACCAGGGCAGTTCTCAGCAGGTGACCAGTTAGGCTGCATTCACAACAACAAACCCCAAATGTTTTTAGTATTCGTTCGGAGTAGGCCAGCCTGTTGACGAGGAGGTTGAACCTACCTTGTTGCCTGTTCCAGCACAGCAGATGCCAAGGGCCATGGCAGCCCCACAGCGAACATGAGGGTTATAGCTCTCTGACAGCAGCGACACCACACTGGGACACTGCTCTGGGGTTCTGATAAAGGGATGGAAAGACACATTAAAGGTATGGAGACAATAAAAGATGCCAGCAAGGTGGTCTACCTGAACCAAAAATATTTGTTGTCTGTTAAATTCCTCCTACTTATTTTTTGTCCTACGAAATAGAATTTAGAGAGCATGTGTTTGTAGCCAACATTTGAACCTCCAAATATGACCAGGTTACGTTATTAGGGTGGGACATCAATGTACGTCAATCATTTTTTGTTAAGCCAACTTCAAGTTTTATAAATGTTACTTTAAAAAGACAATATCGAGAGCATCACACAACAGCATAGAAAATGACCACGGTCTCTGTTTGAGGTTGTGATAAAGGCCCAACTGAGTTTATCACAGTATGAAGAACGACTGCTGGAACAAACCTAGGCGCTTTAACTAAGGATAGGTTCTATAAAGGGTTTAGGTCAAAAAATGTTAAAATCGACAAACAAAAAGCCAAAGCAATCAGCCTTTCGATAGGACGGCTGAAAATAATACAGCAGTGTCATTTACATTTTTTCCCCCTCACAGATGTATTTGCTCGGAAATCACAGGGTAGAAAGGAAGCGATTAGTTTTTATACCAAGAATGTTGTTTGACATTTTACTTGTGAAAGGTGGTACTGATAACACAGCACTAGCTAGACCTCACACTAACTCAGAGATTACTCAGTGCCACAAGATATTAATTTGCCTTACGTGGTATGCTGGAGTAAACAAGTGTTTATACAAGCGATTAATACGAATAAAAATTACAAAAGTGCGGCCAAAGTGTGCACCTATGATTTCCTAACACTGTCTGAAGTCAAACGCATCCAATGAAAGTTGTTTATGGAGTGGGTAGACGGGCTAAGATATTTGGTGGGAGGAATATTACTGGCTAATAAGACTCCTTTGTCATTTTCTGATTACTGTAAAAACTATGGGTTATTCATAGCCCCCCCAATGCTTTAAATTACTTTGCAGAAAACACATTTACCATAGTGAAGCAGAGAGAACTGAAGGAAACAAGTTTGAATTTAAACATATTAAAAAGAAATTGGGAATGAGGACAAAATGGCAAAGCAGTTGTGAACATGTACCCCCTCCACACTAAGAGTTTTTCTTCCAATACACCAGTACCATACCCCCTACCAGCACCCACTTTAAAAAGAAGAGAGACCAGAAAGTGACAAATATAAACAGTGGGGCGGCTGCATTGTAGGAAATTACCTCCCAGAACCACTGGCATGTCTCCAGCACAAAGACATTCATCTGTTTTCTACAGAGTCTGACTCACAGATACGACAGAGGAGGGAGGAGAATAAGAGGGAGAGAGGTAGAGAGAGCAAAAAAGAAAAGAGGCAGAGTGTGAGTAAATCGGTGAAGAAGCAGCAGAGACCGGGGGGAAAAAAGAAAGGCAGACGACTAGCACCGTCTGAAAGTTTTAAACCTGTGATCACGGTAGGTGATGCACAGCAAATCTGGGGGTTCCACCAGCTTGTGGAAGCCAAACAAATTCCAAACCATGGACTGCTTCAGGGAGAGACAGATTTAGGCTGTGCTGCAGAGGGAGGGTATTCTGTGCCACGTTTTTATTTGATGAGGACGGAAATGTCATGCTAAAAAAAGAATGTTCAAAAGGCTTTGGAGCGAAGTGAAAGAAATGGACCAGGTGTTGGATTAACCTATTCATCGGCTCTGAAGGCTGCTTTATGTTTCAAGATCTGAAACATCAAGAAGAAAGGAATTTTAGCTGCAAGTGCAGGTAAGACACCTGAAATTTTGTTGTTTCACTGTGGGGAGATGTTGAAAATGATTTCCACAATGTTTTATTGTCCTATTATAGACCTTTAAATTTCAAGGTTTAAACCTTTTGACTTATCATTAACAGGGAACACATGTGGAAAAAACGAGTAATCCTTTGCAAAACGCAGAATTAGGCACAAAAAAAAAAAGGAATCTTTTGGAATTTCTTTGCTTAAAAGGAAAAGAAAAAGCATTATTCACCAATTTTGAAGCCCATTTTATCTCACCTAAATAACACAACTAAATTGGATGGAAACAACAAGGTATCGCTGCTGTATTAACAAACCCATATGTTTTTAGAGCAGGCACTTGATAAAAATCAAGGACATCTGGTAACATTTCCCTGTGGAAATAATAATTGTGCTGGGATTACTGATTACTTTGGAGTTTAATGAGTTTGGATCCTTAACTGATCACTGATAACTACTATTTTTTTTTTTTTTAATTTCAATACAAGACAAGAAATGACACGCCCTGTGTACCAATCCAAAGGTGTCCAACACTCCCCTTTCTGCCTTTGGCTGTAGGACCTAGTGACCATGCTGACCGAGTGTCCAACACCAGAAAGATCAGAGCTCCGTCACACGCTCAGGCCAGCTGTAACCTGTGCAGCATCATGGCTCAGGCTGTCACAGATCCTCTCACTACCAACAGTTCATGGTCAAGAGAAGAATCTGGGATTCAGCTAAAATGGGCAGCTGTGCTCATTGTTATGGTCATCATCCCCACTATCGGTGGCAACATCTTGGTCATTCTCGCCGTGTCCCTCGAGAGAAAGCTGCAGAACGCCACCAACTATTTCCTGATGTCACTTGCTGTTGCCGATCTGCTGGTGGGACTCCTGGTGATGCCCATTGCCTTTGTTACTGTTCTCTACAGTAAGTTCACTAGGGGTTTCAATTTGACTTGTTATACTGCAGTAGCTAAGACCAATACAAAAGTAAAAACATTCCTTCTCTGTGTTTTATTTGAGTAGGAGTGAATAGAACCTTTTGGCGATTTTAATATCCACTTAAATTTTTATTTTTTTTAATTATTAAATTTAAACAAACACCTAGTTTCCCCCACATCTTTTCATGAAGAACAAAGCCTGGTAGGCAATTTACTGGCAGCAGTAGAGGATGAAAATAATTTGTCAGCAGCACTAGATACAATCTCTGCCATGTCTAAACAAATTACTTCTGACAAAATAAAAGGGATGCTGGGCAATAAACATTTTACTTCCTCTAGGAGATACCCAACAGGGACGCAAATTACTGTGGGACAGTGACAAATTGAAAAAAAAAAAAAATTGGGTTCCTGTTAATTTACTTTAATCTGCCGAGGTGACTTTTGAGGTCTACGCTTAAATGTTAGTAGAGGCCTGCACTGGATTTCTTTAAACAAACAAGAAAAGTGAAGAATAAAAACTTTCTTTAATTAAAACAACAAAAGGAAGTCTATACTGTCATTGGCTAGCATGCTAACGTTACAGGACACGGTCTCCTTAAGGCCAACAAGACCCTCAAAGGAGGTGGAGTTCATCTACAATAACGTATGCCCTACTGGAAACGTTACATGAACTGTACTTTATATCTTCACAATACTGCATTCTAAGAAACTGTACAACTAATAACCTTACATCTTTTACTCCTTTTTAAAAATCAGTGTTTTAACGGCCTTAAGTTGAGCTTTCCTTGCTGATTATAGTCACTAAAGAATCCTTTATCAAAATTGTAAATGGAGATTTCCTCTATGTCTGGAATGCAATGTGGCACAAAGAAAGAAGAGGGCATAAAAATAAAATTATGTTGAGAAATATTTCCAACTTAAGACTTAACTGAAGTTAATGGCCGACGGGAAAAAGGCCAGAATAATAACTTGCCAGTTTTATGTCTGGAACAAAAAATAAACACTGCCGTTGAACAGAGTCTCTAGCACATTTACATAAAGAGCTTTTAGCTCCATAAACAGTCAGTGAAGCCTCTTTTTTTTCCCACTGAATTCATTCCTAAACGATATAAACAAACACTAGTGTTCTTTTACATAAATGCTGCTTCTGATCTCTGTCATTATGGGTCATCTCTCAAAGCACACGATATTGATTTTGAGGTGTTACGTAGCTGGGCGTTCAGCGTTTGATTTTTAAGATGACAAAACCACAGGTAACAGATTAAATTCTTTCTGAATTGACCTTTAAATCTTTTTTTCCCAGACTCTGGCTGGCCTCTTCCAGAGTTCCTCTGCCCCATTTGGCTTTTCCTTGATGTGCTGTTTTCTACTGCGTCCATCATGCACCTATGCGCCATTTCACTTGATCGCTACGTTGCCATTAAGAAGCCAATCCAGCACAGCCAATATAAATCAAGGGCCAAAGCGATGTTGAAGATTGCACTGGTGTGGCTCATATCCATTTGTAAGCATATCATTACAGATTTTCTCATATGATCTTACTTTTAATTATTTTTCAGGGATAGTTTAAAACACGGTGTGAACATATGTGGTTATTATTTTTCAGGGATAGTTTAAAACACTGTGTGAACAAATGAATGGGGTTAAGTAAAGCAATGTCTAATTTTATATTCATGGGCAACAAAACCTTGTCCTACGGCCAATACAGTTCATGCTTCCAAACCAAGCAGAACTGTGTTCATGTCCAAGACATAAGGCCAAAATGATTATGAAAATTAATTTGGCTCTTAAGGATTTTGAATTCTTTAGCAATATTTTAACACAATACCTAGATAGATTTTAAAGGTTATTCTTATGCACACAAAACAACTGCAAATGTCCAGATTTCCACTAATAGCTACAATTGTTGTGACCAAGGAGCTACATTTTTTTTCCCTCATCTGACCAAATGATGGGAATCCAGTCCGCACCATTTTCTACTGATAGTTCATAACATTCTTCAACCATTTTTTTGACTAATCCTTTTGTTTTTAAATTGCAGGTATTGCCATTCCTATTCCAATAAAGGGGCTAAAGAACTACCCGCTACCAAACAACATCACCTTCAACAGTAACCACACCTGCCTGCTGAAAACAGACACCTTCAGGGAGTTTATCATGTTTGGCTCCTTGTCAGCATTCTTCATTCCTTTGACCATCATGATGGTGATCTACCTGCTTACGGTCCAGGTTCTGCGCAAAAAGGTTTATTTGCTAAAGTCAAGGGCGTCTCAGCGTTTCAGCCAACCGACCATATCCACCATTTTTCAGAACGAACAGGTTGCGACCTCGCCGCAAACAGAAGAATTCAATACTGCAGAGAGACGACTTTCTAGGACACACGAGAAATCCAATACAATCACAACAAACTCTCCAACAGGAGAGGAAAATAGCTTTCGCCGAATGTCATCAATGGGAAAAAAGTCAATGCAGACTCTGAGCAATGAGCAGCGGGCCTCAAAAGTGCTGGGGATTGTCTTTCTTCTGTTTGTGGTCATGTGGTGTCCTTTCTTCATCACTAACATCACCTCTGTTCTATGCACCACCTGTGATGCAGACGTCATCGGCCGCCTAATGGAGATTTTTGTCTGGGTGGGTTATGTGTCGTCAGGTGTCAACCCTCTGGTCTATACTCTGTTCAACAAAACCTTTAGGGAGGCATTTACACGTTATATAACTTGCAATTACAAAACCTACTCAAGTCAGGGTGCAGGAAGGCTGCCCAGGACATCGAACACAGAATGGACCTTTGCAAGGATTTCATTCAGGTCTTCCATGGCAAAAAACTCGAAGCTATTTATGAAAAAGGGAGTAAAAAACGGCAACGGAGTAGTGGGCTACCAGAGTCCACTCAGAGAACCTCAAGCCAACGTGCAGCCACCTCATGGTGTTGTGTTGGATGCAGCACTTCTGACTGACACTGAGGTTGTTAAGTTCCGGGAGCATGTGACCTGTGTATAAAACTGAAACTATAAAAAGCATCGGAAAGTTGCACTCAATGCAGGAGCAAGTACTGTAGACAATTGCTGAGCCTGAGAGGCTACTGTGTATGTCATCAAATCATGGGCACAGATTTCACTGTACTCAGCACAGCAACACAGTTAAGCCGCTGATGGTTGTCTACGTACAGGCACAACTGTTCAGCATGTGAAGACATTGATAATGAGTTCTTATTCGAGATCTCGAAAAAAAGAAGCAAAAAAAAAAAAGGCAATGTGCTAACGGGCAAAATTGTGAGGGCACAAGACAAGAATTCCTGCAGGAATGACATTAAAACTGGGAAGCTCTTATAAACAGTTTACAACAAATCACTATGGTCATTCTTTGACTTGGACTGTATAAATATGCTGTACACCATAGCAGTGCTCGTGCTTATATTCAAAGACAACCACAACTGTTACTTTCAAACATCTTTACATGACATATAGTGTTTTTGCAGGACTCTGGGAAGTGATCATTTGTGTAGTTATAGCTTTATGTTTTGGCATTTCAACAAGTTTCCAAATAAAAGACAGTATTTTAAATAAAGTCATTCCGTCTCTCCGAACATAAGGGAAACTATGCAGAGGTCTCCCACTGTTAGTGGTTGAGTGAAATGCTTTTTTAGCCCCCTGTCCATCCACTGTTTGCATGGTTTATTGGTCTGGGGTGTTGATAGACCACGGAAATATGAAAGATCTTGCAAATTTTCATATAAGAAAAACAAAGTAAGGTGACAAGACCAAAATATATATATTTATATACAGTATATAAATGAAACCTAAGTATGATTCTTTTAACAGCCAAAATACCAAAGAGAAAACAATCGAATCTACACATTACCAAGTGAGAGAAATAGAATCAGAACACTGTGCTTTTTAAAAAAAAGCACAGTGGACAATGGCTGCTCCAGACGTCGATCTATAAATCATTTTTAAATCAGCCAAGCGTAATAAAGTGACTAAAAATAAAAAGAGTGCGTAGCATATGTTCGGTGACTAAAAATAAAAAGAGTGCGTAGCGTGCCTCTAATACAGAACATATTTTATGACCAAATCACAGCAAAGATGATAGAGTTTTGGGTTTTGTTCAGTAGTTTAAATATAATATTTTGAATAGTCTAAACGAAATTTAAAAGAAATATTACATATTTTTAAATATCAAAACCAGACTACAAACTAGACTGGCTGGTTCTGTGACTACATTGTTTAATAATTGTATTGCCTTGAAATGAGATCATCAGATAGACCAGATCAGATAGTCAAAATCTAATCAGACCAACTTCTTACATATAATAAAATTAAAAAGTAATTTCATCCCTGTAAGATAGTAGGAACCATTACACAGAAAAATGACTTGGTTTTTTTTACTTTACGACAGATTTTGTGTTGGTTCACTGTTGCATCAGGAAGATAAAATGTCATAAAAGCTTATTAGTTTGATTCCTACCTGAATAAGATGAAGCCAATAGACTCGACAGCAGCTCTCCTCACGTCATCGTTTACGTCACTCACCTTAATTTAGAAAGAGTAATTAGCAAAGCGGATATGCAGACTCATTACGTTCTACAATTAACAGGAATGGATCAACACGTAGCAACTGCTTGGATTTTAATGACACGCGTTCAGCTATTAGACCCTCTGAAAGTTATATATATGGCACCATCTAGAGGACAAAATATAAAACAGTTCCTCTCGTCACTAGTATTTTGCATATGGATTTTTCTAGTGTTCGAACAATTAACATTTAATTAAATAAATAAATTCTAATAAAACTACAATAACATACATTTGTATTTAGGTGAATGTAAATCATTTTATGTCACGTTAAACAAAACATCATTTAAAATGAATGTACAGCACAGAGCTCTGACTGCATGAATGACTACCCTGTCTCAATTTAAATCACCATTTTGAGAAATATATAGCAGGAAACACTTACAGCGACGTGTAGCAGGCGTCGAATGGCCTTGTTGTTCCCGGATCCACAGTATGCCATTCCAACAGTGTACATTCCAGAGCGCCGAAGGATGGGGTCCTGTCATAAAAGGTAAAAGGAAACAGAGCTCTGAGACTGTGTCTGGATGCATTATAGTGATCAATACAGTGTTAGTCACTTCCCACAAGCAGCTCATTTAGAGGTGATTCTGGCACACACCACAGAGCAATACATTTCAATATGACAGAAATGCACAAACAAGACTCAAGACACCAGCTATTGCTGCTGCAAGCGTCAGGGATTGATAATGTGTCAGGCATTACATATAAATACTATGCATTTATACTTATGACCTTTGCTTAAAATAACTGCTTCTTATTGGGGTTTTTTTTTGTCAGAAGAAAATGTTATTACCAAAATGTACTGCAATCTCACCTTGTCTCTGCACAGGCTTTCAATGAGGGTGTCAGCCTCCTCCATACGGCCGTACATTACAAGAGCAATTCCCACTGCCAGTCCACGCAGGATCTTTTCGTGCTGCGTTTCCTGAGCATAGCCAACCATGTCTTCTATGGCCTGAGCTGATTTGGAGCCAAGCATAACTAGACCCAGAGCCAGACCTGCAGCTTCACCTGGATATGATGCATGAAAATGTCAGTACGGGTCACTTTGAGATTGGTACAAATGTTTAAAACAGTGTTTGTATGTAATATAAATTACATAAAAAGGCAGCATGTACTAGAAATACTTCAAAATATACTGTAACTTATTGTTAGATGTGTATTTATTTAAATAAATAAATGATTAAATAAACTTAAATAACTATATTTTGTGTAAGTGACATTTATTTTTATTTTTATTTAGCAAAACAAACAAAAATAAAAAATAAATTTGACAGCCTGCAATTTTCTGTTGACATTTAGAGACGGCTCTCCGTACCAGTAACAGCATCATCCTGGTACAAATTGGACTTGAGAAGGTCATAAACGTCTTGTCTGGCTGTACCCAGCGCAGCCAAACCGAGGCCAAGGGCGCCACCATGACGGACAATCTGTGCAACACAGGAAAAACACACTTTACCACAAAGACAAATTTGAAATGTTTGTATTTTGAAAATCTTTTTTAATAGATCACTGTTGTATAAAAGGCACATTAAATAAATGTCAGTAATCATTTCTAAAGATTTTTTTAAAAAAAGGCCACGTAGGCATTAAAAAAAATTAAAGAAAAAAAAAAAAGGCCACGTGGGCATTAAAAAAAATTAAATGAACTTACATCATTGCTGGCATTCTTGAGCTGACCGAGAAGGTAGTCAATAATGTCACCACCATGATTGGCGTGAATAAGGCCCAGAGCGTACAGACCCCCTCCTTCCTGATAGGCTGAGCCAGGAGAGGTGTCTTTGGGCAAATAGGTGGCCATTAACTGCAGTGCCTCCTTCTCATGACCCTGGAAACAGAGTTATGTCAATTAAAATGAACTGTATAATTATTTTGTTATTACCCAAGAGATATGGTTTACCTTGTGGATGACACCCAGACTGGCTGTAGCTGTGAATTTTGCCCAGTTGGTGGCTCTAGCAAGCCATTCTAGGTTTTCTCTACAAAGACACAATAAAATAAAAAAAAAATCTCAGATCTTCTGTTCAAATACACAAACTAAAAAAAAGGTTAGATTCTGAAACTTGGAGATGTTTACCTTAGAAACTGGTCACTTGTTGTTCCTGTGTGCATGAAGGAATTGGCTATGACTGTAGCTGTGTGGCACACTGAATTTCGAACTGCATCCTATATAGAAAATTGAATTCAATTAATAAAGCAAATATATATATATATATATACATATATATATATTTCTTAAGGCATTAACCTTTTAGCCAGTCTATTTTACCTTTGTGTTTTTGAGAATCATTAGATCTGTGTTGTTATTTCGGATCAGGAACTGCAGGTGCAACTCGATGGCCATCTCTCCACTGAGGATTTTGATCATCTTGGCATTCTGGTCTTTGGGCTCATCTTTCTGTATCAAGACAAAAAAGAAAAAGAAAAAATGTTTTCTCCATTTGGATAGAGAAAAAAAAAATTGAAGAACAATTCAATAGCGGATTTCATTTTACCGTTTCTGCTGACTTTCCAGCAGGTGAGCTGCCAGCTTTGTCATCTGTCTCCATTGCATCACTGTCAGATTAAAAAAACAAAACATTTTTGAGTGAAACATGACCTAACTACAATTGACCTTTTTTTTTTTTGCATTTTCTCCTGCAAACCTGTCTTTGTCAGGGGCAGGCACAGTTCCTGTATTTGTGGAGCCAGGGACTGCTGGAATGGGTGTTCCAACAGTGCGCAGGTTTTGGATGACAGAGGAGAGGAACTGCTGGCTGGCACTCTCATACAGATCAAAGCAGATCTGATAGGCCATCAGCAGGTTGTCCTCTTTCACTAGTTTCTCCAGGATGTCACTCACAGCCTGTGGGTCATCCAGGAATATCAGGCACTAGAGAGGATGTAGGATAGGAAATCAAAGGAAAAAAGGTTTTGAGCAACATACAATAAGATACAAATCAATACCTTCACCATTATGAGGCATGGATTTCAACTGTACTTTTCAACAAACTGACAATGCTTTAGGATTAAAAAAAAATAATCAAAGGCATACCTGGCAGACATTAATGAAATCCGGTTTTTCCAAATTCATGTAGAGCTTGACCAGCACGCGTAAAACTTCATTACGAAATTTCTTGTTCTGCATTAGGGACATGCACACCTTCAAACTGTAGGCAAGGAGCCCACTTAGATCACTCTGCAAGACAAAGATGAGAGCAACAATTACCACAGTGTCAATACAAAACGTAAAAACATAGTAAAGCCATGAATGGTCTATTAATTAATTACAATAAAAACATTGTGCAAGTAAATGTATTTACTGAATTTAAAAAATAGTTATTAACTCTTATTTTTGGGGGAAACTAATTATTAAGTTAATTAAACCGAGGATAAAACAGCTGCTCACTGATTCCAAGATGGTCTTTTCAAACATGTCAAGCCGCCTGGTCTCCAGGGCGATGCCAATTGCTTGCTTGTACTTGTGATCGTCAAGGCAACGCAAGAACATCTTGTTGACTATGCCCTCGAGGCGAGGGTCAATGCTTTTCTTCTCCTCGTCCTCTGGCAGCTCGGCCTTCTCAACCCGCAGCTTGGTGTAGTGATCAATGCATTTTGCTAGTAGACAGAGAAAACACAGAGGGTCTGTTTTAATCACCCTGGTAATTTAACATCATACAGTAGTATTCAGTAGTGTGTAAACAAAAGAGTCTTTAGCTAAAGGTGATTAATTTACATCAGGGGCATTTAGTTCTCAATAGTGATGTTTTAATACCACAGCTGGATCCAAACAGAAGACATACTACATAATGAAAAAATACCAAGGGTAAATGAGGTCAAATGCATTTGCTTGATCACTCACCAATGATGGTTTCCACATATTCAGAGTCGTCTGTGACATTAAAGAGATCACCAGCACCAAGTGCATAATTCAGGGACTCCTCAAAAGCTCCAAGGTGGTAGAAAACCTTTGAAGCAACCAGGGCAGCGAATTCTCTACTCCGAAACGCCTCATCCTCGTACAACACCTCACTATGATTAAAAAAAAGTTTACAACACACATTTGAAAAGGTATAACATTTGATTTACTATTAAATGTATGTGTATGGAATAGAAAATTTAACGCATTTATTTCTGGCAACAAAACACAAATTATTCTTACAATAGGTATGTTTATGTTTACTTTACTTACAATTGTAGTCATACTTACATTTTATCTACTGATCCAGAAATCTCAGCCCAAAAGTCATTCACTATTGAATTAAGTTTTTGAAGAGCAAACTCCTGGAAAGAAAACCAAAAGCAATGGCACGATTTACATATCAACTTGTGTTAAATCAGATCCTTTTCATGTTTACTTAACGGTATTATACAACTTTCAGCAAAGGCAAACTGCCCGCAAAAGTGTTGGTTATTTTAGAGTTTGTGCTCTCATATCTTACCTTGAGCTGAGGCTCCTCCTCATCAAGAAGCGAAATAATCCCAGCTGAAAACAAATACAAAGTAAGAGGATGTACTGAGAAAGGACACTATACACAAATGATGACAACGTAAAAATACATTCTAACATTTCGAGCCTATGTTAGCAATTCTTTCGACCTACGATTGCCACTGAAACATCAATCTCAAACACGTTTGTCAGTGTAAACACAACAGCAAACGGCTTTCTGTTATTGAAGAAAACTTCAAATTACTTGAAAATGAATCAGGTTTTCGGAAGCATATCTAGCATAGTTTGCGGTGTGAGGGACACACAAACTGATTACTGATGTCAAGGCCAGAGCCAATAATATAATATAATACCAGAATGTATTTATGCAATATGTATATTTTTTTAAAAAGGTGCGCGTTCTTAAACTTTTTTTGTACAAATCGAGGTCCAACACAGAATGATGTTCAAGAATGTTTGTTGAGCTTAACGATGACACTGCATGTGAAAGATGGTTCGTTGCATTTACCATCACAAAACTGTCGTCGTTAAGATGCTATCGTAAACAACTACATTTATGGAAATGAAATTTTGACAATCAATCCGCTTGTCCTTAAGAAAACATTCAAATATGTGTCAAATGTGTTGGGGTTTTTCCGAAGTATTAAATATGACATTTTGAAAACCCGAATCACCACAGTCATGTACCACACAGCAACAAAACTGCAACTCAGCATTAAAATAATACAATTTAGCAATTCAAACGGTTGTCGTCCAACAGAAACACCGTATGTAACTAATATAGAAAGCTGTGTTTATTTGAAAAAAATTAATTCTGGTGAAATAACACATTTCACCGGTAATCACTGATAGGCTGCTCCTGTCTTAGCTATGTGACTCAGCTATATCAATGGCAGAAGGCAACACCAACGGCTAACAGAGTAAAACACTTTTATTGTAAACATACCGGCAGACGTTAACATGGTTGAATCTTTGTTTCCTCCTCAGCCCCAAATTGTTGGTGCGGCAGGGAAGCCTCGTGCTCCTTAATGTAGAAAAGAGTAAGATAAAAGAGTTTTAGTTGTTGCCAGTCAGGCGCGGCTACTGCTAACTTCTTTTTGTCTCTCACTGAAGGACCTCTTTAGAAGGACCTCTGGTGAAGGTGCCCTCAATAGCGCCTGCCTAAAATACATTAAACACTCCTCTATAAAAACACGTTGACGTATTTCAAATATATTATAAAATATAGTAAAATATATAAATTACTTATGAATCAACTTTATTTAGATAGATATAGAGATATGTTATTTTAACTTAAATTTAGGTAAAACAGGTTTCACAAATCTTTAGGAAACAGACAATATATAAATGCAATGTTTTATTTTTTGTATTTACACAACTTATGAATTACAAGATGTACAAAGAAACCAGGGTTCTTTAAGGCACAAATCTTAGTTTTATGACAACATAAAAGGGAACACATTACATGACCACAATTAGTAAACAAATAAGGCCCTGAGCTTTGACCCCATAAATCAGAGTCATTCTTTTTCCTAGTGCAGTTAGTTTTTTTTAATTCATGTCAGAACATAGTTTGGATCTAGGCATTAGAATATTAAGCACACCAAGAAACAAATGGCAGAAAAAAGAAAGAAAAAAAAGGCACAGATTCATTAATCAGAAATGTAAGCTTTCCGCTAAGAGACTTAACAGCCTATATATATTATGAACTTCATTAATTTATGTACTTACGTTTTACATTTTAATATAATATTGTGCAACAAAATTTGTAGAAGACACACTGTGGTTTTGAGGCAGTGCCATTCAAATGGTCGTTAGTTGATCCCAATAATTACATCTGTAAGAAGCATCCTTTAACTGAAAAAGTCTGCAACTTGAACTATAGAACAGAATCCACACGTGTGTATAACTAATGTTGGATGTGGCCACCTAAATGTTGGATGTGTGGTGGATACAATATAAACATGAGATGACAAAAGAACAAAGCTTTTAACTTCAAGAAACAAGTCCTTGTTCCATGGTAAAACAGAGTACTATCAGGAATCATTTTTCATGCTGTGAGTTACAGATCATGTGTTCACAGTAACAATAGGATTATTTTAACAGTGACATTTCCTGCTGCAAAAAGCCCTTAGGTGTCAGCTGACATTAGCTACCAGATCTGCCTGGCCCGTCAACGACACTGCATTCAACAGTGATGGACGATGTTTTCAGAGGTATGCCTTCCTCAGTGTTTCCAGTGTCTTCTGAAAAATAATTTAAAACATTTTCTTGTGAACCTGTAAAATTAATTCATTAAATTCGCATTCCACATTACCCTTACATCGACTCTAACATTACTTTTAAGACTGGCTACATGCTATGGTGGCCCAAATATTTAAAGCTAGGATCATAAATATCTACTATATATGACACCTTTTATATATTCTTTTCAACATACAACCCTGATTAGTTTAATTTTGAATATAACCTTAACATTACAAATAAAGATGGTGTGTTTTCTTAAACCTCTGATCTGAAATTATTTCATTTTATTATTGTTTTATTTTTGACCTTTTTCAACTGTAAGCATTCTCATCCAATGACTGACCAGCTCAGTCAGACTGAGTTTGCACAATGTCACTACCTCTTTGTCGATTGGTTGTAGAGTTGTTTGTGTGACCTCTGGTCCGTCTTCTGTGGGGCCAGAACAAACATTGGAATGGCCAGAAAAGCGAGTTCACTCTATCCATGGTATTATCTAAAAGAAAATTTGGACAGAGATTAAAATTTTTGTATCTAATCAAATTGCCTGATTGTTGCAATGAATGCAGTCATTGTTCCTAAGCCATCTCACCCACCCATGGGGAATGTGAGCAGCAATGTGTGATCTTGTGAATGTCATGAAGTGACCCAAATAATAGACCCCCCCACCCTTATGTCTGTAAATAATTTGCTAGGAAAACAGTGCATTTACTCAAAAGTTTAGATATGATACTTTAACAACAAAAACATTGTATTCACTTATTATTGGTAATTGTTTTTATATATAAATTCACTGCATGGTACCCAGTGTTTTTTAAAGAAATAATTCTATAAAGGCTTTATCTAGGATCTATATTACTTTGCATATACTTTGCATTACTAAAAAAAAAATTGGTGCTGTAATACACAGTTGATTAACATGTTAACACACTGTAGGAAAACTTTTTAGCTTCACTGAAGCACCTTCAAGCTTAAAATCGGTTCTGACCCAACAATACATACAATAAGCCTTTTTTTGTTCTTCAAATTTAAGAATGCTGACTTATCTCGACTAATCTTGATTAAAGCATTTATCTGTTTGATGAATACTTTACAACACTACCACCCCGGTGGCCAATGTGTGCCATTACACCTGTGGTTTGAGATGAACTGATGACCTTGCACGCGTTCATCTTTATGCTGAGCACTTTAGCCTCAGCCTTCGGTATAAAGCATTCGGTCCAAATAGTCTCTGGCGAATGTCTGCAGAACACGGATCGAATCAGACGGTCCAGGTTTTGCACACAGCAGCGCGTCTCTGCGCTCTCCTGCCTGCTGTGGATTAATCCAATCAGAGCCGGTCTGGCGATTGTGGCATGTTTGGTACGCGCCTTCACGTCCTTTAGGATCTCCTTTATGCACACGTTGTTGGACTCTTTGCTGACAAATGTCTGTCGGAACATGAAGACGATGACCGGAGAGTCTATAGCGCGTTTAAGGCTGTAGATGTTAAACCTCCTCGTCACCGTTATCCGAGCCTTCTCGTTCCCTTTCCCCTTCTCCGTGTCCTTTCCAACGGGGGCATCTTTCAAGTCCACGTCCTCTATTTTCGGAGATTTCTCCAGACACTGTGTTTCGCTGCAGTCTATGTTGTTGGTACTGGCTGTTCTGGGCTGTGCGTTGGTCTTGGCACATGTGCCATCGTGAAACAACTCTCTCATGAACTCGTCCAGGATGCCAACGTTCTCTCCGTCCGCGTCTTTAGTCTGACGCGTATCGCACACCAAATAAATTCTCTCTTTCCCACCGATCAGTGTTATGACCTTCTGAAACTCCCTCTCCTCATCGGACAGCGGCGCGTCCTCCTGGAGCTCGGTCATCCTCTCTCTCTCTCAAATAATCCTCGCTGATTTCACTCGTTATTTACACTCAAACATGGTGACATTCACACCACGGCTAACACGCTGCTGACCGGTGAAAAGCAGCTAAAACTTCCTTCCAGTCATCAGGAACACAACTAAGAGGGAGGGGCCACGTGCTCAGCGGCCGATTTTATTGGCCGCTGTAGGTTGTGGGCGGAGTCAAGTGTCAGAGACTGGACACAGATTGTTCCACGTTAATCTTTAATTACTAACACAAACAACGATTGTAGTCTACCAATTTTTACTAAAAAAAAATTTAAAAAATCACACAAACCAATTATATTATATTAAATAATTAAGTTACATTTTCTTTTTCTTTTTGTTATTATTACAGTTTCGACCATGGATGATGAAATCTCAGGGTGCAGAGCCCACCCTCTTCACTTCCAGCACTCTCATGGAGAAGATTCCAGTCTTCCCCCCTGTGTTGTAGATTGCCGGCTGTGAAAAATAACAAAAACAAGAGCGCTATGCACCAGCTGCAATACAAAAATCCTCAAGTATGTCTCTTGCCTTCTAAACGCCAAATAATGTTCAGATGGAATTCCAATTATGTTCAAGTTCAACTTGTTTCTCCACTATATCTGGAGACTTTTGATTTTCCCAGACTCTAATCTTTTAATCCAGGCATGCCGTCAACTCAAGTATGTCACTAAATGAATGGTTTGACCATGCAAATGAAATGCCTTCAGCTGCTGAGTCATTGTCTCATTGTTTGCACATGAATTAAAAAAAAGAAGTCAAAGTTTGACCCAAACCAACACAGTGTTGTCAGCCTTTGCTCTTTAGACTCACTTAGCAATGATTAGTTGGGTGTAGAGCAACTTTTGGCTCCTTTTCAAACACAACCTCCACCCAATTGTTTTATGACTTTTTTTAATCTAATTCATGGACTATTTAAGACGTTTAATCTTATCTAACAAACAGGTCTTTATGTTGACGTTCATTGCAACACATTCTTTTGGTATCTGACCTCTTTGCCCAGGGAAAGCAGGAACTGAGGGTCCATCATTTCACTCGGACCAGTGAGAGACACATGAAGACCTAATCGAACTGACGAAAGAAAAGACAATAAGGGATGTCAACAACTGAACCACAACAAACAACTGGTGAGACAGTTCGTTGCTGGACTGATTTTTGTCCATTCAATAAATGGACTCTTCTTCGCCTAAGAAGTGAAGCCACTATTTGAATTTGTATCTTTACATTCATGTTTTTAGCAGACATTTTTATTCAATGCGATTTACAGGAGGAGGATTAACTATCAAGGATGTGGTTTCACTGGGAGTCAAACTCAGGACTCTCTGCTTCCGTGAAAGGCGTGCTCACCGCTACACTATGGAACCCATTTTTCTCATCTATTCCCCCATCTTTTTTTTTAAATGTTCAACATATCTTTGCAAGTTGCATTGTTCCAAAAATAGTTGGACGAAGTAGGCTTTTTTTGATGACGTTTCACTTCTCAACCAAGAGGCTTCATCAGTTCCTCTTGGATGAGAAACGTCTTTTAAAAAAAAAACCCTACTTCGTCCAGTTGCCCTCGATGTAACTATTTTTGGATTAAATGACCTGGATGACTGAGAACCACCACAGACAATAGTCGTTGTTATTTACATGACACCACTGAGACTACAGACATAACCAGTAACACACAGTTCCACTGACAGAGCTGTAAAAGTGCAGCTGTGCTCCTTCAGGTTTGACATTTGGACGAACCTGAAAAAACTACAACTCATCCTGTAACTGTGGACATTCTTTTGGACTTACCAGATGATATGTACTGAATTTTAGACACAAAGGTGTGATGACACCGACAACTAAAATACGGTTCCAATACTCTTCCATTTCAGCTCTTTTATTGATATTTTCACTTTTATCATTTTGCTGTGCCCTGAGGAGGTCAGTAAGGAAAGATTTGTGAGTATAAATATGTAACCTGTGATCTTCTTGTCTGATACCAGAGTCCTGAGAACTGAGAGATGATCTGAGGTCAGAATGTTCAGAGGTAAAGTGCCGGGGGTAGTATCTGTGCTTCTTCTTCTTCTTCTCTGGACGTTATTTTCTGTCAGGTTAGGTCTACCTGTGAGAACATCACAGAGGGAAACAAAGTTGTGGGTTTTGAGGAATATAAAAAATGTATTTATATTTATTATTTAATGTTTATAAGACAGTGATGACCTGCGATGAAGGGCTGATGCAGAGGATGTCCCACAGATGACCCGGAGTCGGTATGAGACCATGTCTCAAACTGACCAGTTGAACCTGTGGAAACAGAAAGGGTTGGGGACATTTTTTAAATATTTTTTATATTCATATTTTTATAGAAGGTTTATTTTAAAAAATATAAAAAGTATTCAATATAATCCACAGTTCATTGTGACACTTTTGTGTGTAAATAAACAACTATAAACAACAAAAGCAAAGTATTTTTTAAAACTTTTTAATTGATTTTCTTGGTCTAAACTTGAGCTATTATTGCAGAGGGATTTACTTTGGTGCTATTTTATTAAATTTGAAATGTTGTCAAGAGCAGCTGAGAAGAATATGACCAGCGTAGCACAGTAAGTTATAATTGTCTTTTTCAATCCCACTAAATTACCATAACGACATAAATACAGTGTAAAAAATTAATCTTTTTCAATCCCACTAAATTACCATAATGACAAAAATACAGAGTAAAAAAATTCTTCTATTCTGTAATTCATGGAATAATTGGTCCTTTTTAAGGCTATCCAATTAATTAAAAAACTGATTAATAACCATCACATTGTAGCAGACGGACGTGAAAAAGATTTTTACCAATAAATTTTTTTATACAAAGAAATTATCCCTGTATTTAAACTAACAAATGGAACAAAACAAACATTTCCTAAAAAAAAAAAAAAAAAAAAAAAAAAAAAAAGGTAATTTACTTACAAACAAATGCAGTTCCAAGAAGAAGTATAAAAAGTAGACGGGTAAAATAAATGACCATAAAGTTCCTTAACTTCAGAGAAATAAGACTGGCCATCCTTATTGTCACACACCGAGCATGAAAACAAGTCCAGATCTGGACTGAGTGCTTCTGGGGAGAAATATTATGACGACCTAGTTTCTGTGCACACAATAGACCAAACCTGGAAGAATGGACATGATCTTCAAGCTGGGTTTTAGCTTTCACTGTGTCTGTGACACGGGGGGAGTGGTGGACCCATAAACATGTGAAGAAGCTATTCAGTTTCTTTGGCATGATTTAGATAAAATACTTCAATTTCATGGACATGAATGTTTGAACTTTTTGCCTGTTTATTTTTAATTATTTAAACAACAGTGGCCTAAAAAACATTAATGATGAACGGGAAAAGTGAAAAACCTGAAACGCAATAACAATTTTCATTACGATTAATTAATTAATTAAAAAAAAATACAAACGAAGAACAAAGATGTATAATGTAACATACACTTGTGAAAACAAAGGACTGTTATCACTGTGACAAATCTCATAAAATGTGAGTGTAAATTACCAGGGAAATGCAAACATTCAGTTCACAGCAGTTAATCAGGACAAGGTGTAGGTTATAGAAGTTTTTCTTTTTTGGATGCTCAAATGAATCAAGTCTGAATCTATTCTGTATGTATATTAATGCCATTTTCTCCTGAAAAGTAAACGACACGTAAACTCAGAAGTTTGTGCTCGTACAGGGTCAAAGAAGTTTGATATCCAAAAATACTTCACCAGAAATGATCTTTAACCTGGTCAAATTACACCGTGATTTTGTTCTGTAAATAAAATAATCCCCGGACTAATGCACTGTATTGTTGACTTACTTGTGTTGACAAATATGTTGAAAGACTAGATATAAACAGATATTTTCTAGATAGAATAGATGAAGCTTCTGTTATTTTTTTTAAATAAGAAGAATTACAGTTAAACTATTTAAAAAAAAACTTAATCTGAATTTGATCACTAAGGAGAAGCTACTTCTTTATTGATCAGTATTTTGATAAACTAATTTAGAACAGCGATCTTCAACAAGGTGCTTTGCGACCCCTACGGGATCAACGAAGGTACTGCTGGGGCTATTGTAGAATTGTAGTTGTAATTTAATGATCTCTTCCAGTTTTTCCCCGACGTTAAAAATAGTCATAATTATAATGAACTGAACCAAATACAGTTAATTTAAAATACACGTTGGTGACGAGAGCTCTGGATTATAATGATCCAATTATAGTTGTGCTTTTTTGTTTTATTATATTTTTATATCCTTGATTGCTCTAAACATATGAACAGACGCACTCGACTCTCTTCTGTTTGTGTATATGTTCGAAATTAATACAAAATTAAAATTAAAAGGATTAGTCGTGGCGCTGATTTTCGAACAATTATCGCCAGCAGTTTGAAAAAAATGACCTCTAGATGGCAGAATTGTATAAGTTTTTGTTTTAACAAACCAGAAAACCCCTTTACAAGAAAAACCTCACCGCTAGGTGGCAA